TATATATATATATATATATATATATATATATATATATATATATATATATATATATATATATATATATATATATATATATATATATATATATATATATATATTTTTGTGGGAAAAATAAGTGTAATATATAAGGCCGAAACGGATTTATAGGCCTACATGCTTTCTACGTTAAAGGCTGCAACAATCTACCAAAAAGTGGTACATATTTATATAAGGATTATATAATTGGTTCAAAATAAAGTAGACTGAACTGACTACATGCATGTAATTGGTTAAAATAAAAATTGAACTTCGAATCTACTTCAGTAACTGTAATTTCAATAAAATCGCGCCATTGCCAATATACAGGCGGGACATCAAATAGAACTTATTACAGAATGTACACTGCTACGTATAACAATAAGCAATGATTTAAAGTGGAATGCTCGCATTGATAAGACATGAACCAGCAAAGTTTCGAAACAAATTTACTTTCTCACTCATTTAAAGAGAGCACAATCTTACCGGGTTCTACGTAACCTGTATATTAAACCTGTATTGGAGTACTGCTGTGTTGTTTTTCATGACAGCCTCTAGGAATATTTTCTTTACGCCTTGAAAGAATCCAAATAAGATGCTTATCCCGCATTATTCACCAACAACTAAAGTACGAATTAGCGTTAAAGAAAACTGGGCTACCAGCATAAACAGACCGCGGAGAAAATATATAGTGATAAAAACTTTTGATGCCATTCATTCAAATGATGAACATCAACTTCATTCGTTATATACCAAATACAAAACAGCCCTGTGACAATTTACGGAGAAAGAATCCATTAGTTTTACCAAGGTGTAAAACAAATCGTTATATACAAAAATACTTTTATACCTTTCCTTTCCTTACTTTAGTTTAGTTTCAAGGTAAATTGAATTTGATCCATGTGGATCGGTAAATTGAATTTGATTCATGTATGCTTTTCACGCTTTTTTACGCTGTAGCACGAGTTCCAACTTCATTTGTTCTGCAAATTATATTTTTGAACAATTTCTGTTTCTGGTGCAAGTACCCAAAGGTGAAAACTTTACAGTGATTCGTCATAAACATGCCTGTTTTGATAGCCACTGCCATTCTGGCACAAAGCAAATGGTTGCATTTATATATATATATATATATATATATATATATATATATATATATATATATATATATATATATATATATATATATAAATGCAACCATTTGCTTTGTGCCAGAATGGCAGTGGCTATCAAAACAGGCATGTTTATGACGAATCACTGTAAAGGTTTCACCTTTGGTACTTACACCAGAAACAGAAATTGTTCAAAAATATAATTTGCAGAACAAAATGAAGTTGGAACTCGTGCTACAGCGTAAAAAAGCGTGAAAAGCATAAGAGTTTCCACATGGATCAAATTCAATTTACCTTGAAACTAAACTATACATTGAGGTTTCACATTTTTTTGCTTGTAACAAAGTTGCAATCTGTTATTCTATAGTGGTGTAAAATATATAAAATAGCGGATGTTTTACCTGTCGTTATAGGGCTAATAAAAAACCTTAATAAAATTGTGTAATGAAGGAAAGATATCTGCATGAAGGATTTTACAAAGTTGTATACCGCCTCCAAACTATGTAACCATGAACAACTGCGTTACTACTCAAATCTACTTCACTGAGCGAAAAACAAAACAATTAAATTAACAGTTTTAAATTAACCTTGGTATGCAGATGTTGAACTGGATCTATGAGAGATGTAACATTTAATTAATTTCAATTTATAAAGATGAAAGGAAACCAGAGGATTATAACTTCAGTTATAATGTAGGTCCTAAAGCCACGTCCTCTGTACATTGATGCATGCAGACAACACAAAACAATACACCCTAATAATGTCACAGATCTCCTTGGCCCAGAAACCTCGCTCTCATGAAATCCGAGCGAATTGCCTTTCGTCTTGACTCACGAGAGCGAGGCTCCAACGTCAAGCACGTATTCGTGACGTAATTATCGCAAGGGTGTATATCAAGCATTGCTGTACAGTACGCGTTCCAAATCAACAGCGCTGGGAATCAACGTTGGTTGAGTTATCTGATTCAATATGCTGTGTATGGCATTGGGGTCGTTTCAACCATAACTTATAGTGCGTCAGCATCTTCTGGAAATTGCAACGGTAGACTGAAGTGTGATACAGGTAAAATCAGTTGTATAACTTCGAGTCTTCGTATAAAATTTGGAACTTGGCCAGGTAGGGTGAGCCTCATTAACTGAAATATTATATCAGAAATCCATTGGGGGTGGTGTTTCATCTTTTTCGCCGATGAGTACTCAAAAGCTTGAAATGCGTGATATTTCTTATTTTTTTTGTATTATTTGAAACTGACGAGATCGAACCAACCCAGAAGAATTTTATGTATACGAAACCTTGTGTGTTCTTTCCCTCACTAACAAAGAACTTTTGCCAAGAAGCAAAAATTGGAGTTATTGACGATTTTACTTATTCTTTTTCATTGTCTACCTTCTCCATACGAAATATAGAATTACACATGACTTTGCTGTGTTGGTCAAGCGATTGCGTATAGAGTTGATCATGTGAAAAGGTTCAATTTAATATGTAGCGAGTTTATTGACAATAATTAATGATTAAAGAATACATGCACTCATTTCTTTCGTGTCCAATTCAATAGAAAACGTTATAATTATTATCTGTTTATTCGAATTTCAATAGCCGATGGCATTTTTTTTATTATATACAGTACTTTTTTAAGAAAAGTACGTAAATGTTATCGTACCAGTATAGATAGCGAGGAACATTGTCAATATAGTTGAAGTATTAGAGGATCAATAAAACGAACTGAAAATCATAGCGTGAACTTCGACGTTTCGAATCAATTAGGCCCTTCGTCTGAAGTTAGTCGCCAAACTAACTTCGAAACGAAGGGTCTTCGCTTGAAACGTCGATCGAAGTTCTTACATTTTTCATGCAGGTAGTTTGATACCGTAATTCCTCAAGTAATTATTTTACCTTTGAATCGTCTCCAATCAATATATACTATCTAATTCTATATGCTCTGGATATTTTTGCTTTGGGAAGCTGCAACTTCTGTGTATCAACATATGGTTACAGTCTCTATGGTTAGTTCGCTATATGGTTAGTCTTAAAAATATACTTACTTGTAAAATTGTGTAATTCAACCCCTTTGGGTTGCAAGGCAAATTGACTACATAAATCTATCTATCTATCAATCAAAGTAATATTGATCTTAAAAACATTGTACATCAACTTTATTTTCTATAATACAGTTCGCGACCAAATACAAATGTGCCAGAATGGCATTGGCTATCAAAACAGGCATGTTTATGACGAATCACTGAACAGTTTTCACGTCGGGATATAACAGAACAAAATGAAGTTTGGAACTCGTGCTACAGTGTACTTTGTAAGACTTTCCACATGGATCAAATTCAATTTACCTTGAAACTAAACTATATATTGAGGTTTAACATTTTCTTTCTTGTAATAAAGTTGTAATCTGGTATTCTAGTGGTGTAAAATATATAAAATAACGGATGTTTTACCTGTCGTTATGGCTAATAAAAAACCCTAATAAAATTGTGTAATGAAGGAAAGATAGGCTTTCTGAAGGACCTTACAAAGTTGTATACCGCCTCCAAACTATGTAACCATGAACAACTACGTTACTGTTCAAATCTACTTCACTGAGCGAAAAACAAAACAAATTAAAAGTTTTAAATTAACCATGGCATACAGATGTTGAACTGGGTCTATGAGAGGTGTAACATTTAATTAATTTCAATTTATAAAGATGAAAGGAAACCAGAGGATAAGTGCTTCAGTTATAATGTAGGTCCCAAAGCCACGTCCGCTGTACATTGATCATGCAGGCAACCACAAAACAATACACCTAATAACGTCACAAATCTCCTTGGCCCAGAAGCTTCATTCTCATGAAACCTGAGCGAATTGCCTTTCGTCTTGATTCACGAGAGCGAGGCTCCCAGGCAAAGCACGTATTCGTGACGTAATTATTGAAAGGGTGTATATAAGCATTGCTGTACAGCACGATTTTCCAACTGATCAACAGCGCTGGGAATCAACGTTGGCTGAATTATCTGATTCAATATGCTGTGTATGGCAGTTGGGGCCGTTTCAAACATAACGTAGTGCGTCAGCATCTTCTCGAAATTTCAACGGTAGAAAGTATGATACAGGTAAAATCAGTTGTATAACTTTGAGTCTTCGTATAAAATTTTGGACCTTGGCCAGTTGGGGTGCGTCATTAATTGAAATGTTATATCAGAAATCCGTTGGGGTATTGTTTCGTGTTTTTCGTCGGTGAGTAACTCAAAGCTTGAAATGTGTGATATTTCTTTTTTTGTATTGTTTGAAACTGACGAGATCGAACCAACCCAGAAGAATTTTATGTACGAAACCTTGTGTGTTCTTTCCTCACTAACAAAGAACTTTTGCCAAGAAGCAAAAGTTGGAGTTATTGACGATTTTACTTATTCGTTTTCATTGTCTACCTTCCCCTTACGAAATATAGAATTACACATGACTTTGCTGTGTTGGTCAAGCGATTGCGTAGAGTTGATCGACTGCGATTGGTTTGACACAATATAACATGGAAGAACGCTGCAAATCAAATATTTCCTTCAACGTTAGCTTTACTGTATATATAAACTAAATGAAATTAATTCGTCCCTTACCTTTAAAGGATTCATTTCACGAGCTCTTTACTCGTAATGAAACCCCCCTATATAAGGCAAAATGAAACATAACGTTACTATATAGCATGTCCGGATAATATACGTTAATTATACTGTGTTGGCAATCGAACTTAATTAATTATTTCATTAACTACTCGATATCTTAATGCGAAATAGCAAAGTTTGTTAGTGCTGGAACACACTAAAACAATAAAGGAACATGTAACGGCATAAATGGTAAAGTAAAATCCTTCAAAATATATTTAATAGGTGTACATTCCAACATCTTTATAGCCTAATATTTCCCGGATAATGAGAATATTTTTCATATCTTTCACGATGATCTTGCAATATGACTTTTTTAATTGAGCAGCCATGTATCCAAGCAAATAACAAGCGTTCGATTCATAAAAAGATAACAACCGCATTCATTTTATTAGACCAAACATGAACTTAATGATAATTACATACAAATTTGTATCTTAGACCCATGATTGAAACATAATGAAAATTTTGTTATTCCACAAATCACCATTAAGAGGTTAAGATTAAACTTTTGTCAATGTAATGATGAGATTTTGAAAACAATGTATGTTGTACGTGTTATGATATATTCAGTATACAGAACAGTCTGCAGTCATGCAAAACAATTTACAATTAACACTTTGTCGATCCTGAAGGTTGTACTGTACAAACCCAAATTGAGTAAACACTTTTCTTTTAAAACTCCATCATGAATGAGTTCAATCTACTCAAATTACTGTATATACATGCAGCTTTACTCAAATCATGAAAACCTAAAAGGCCCCAAGAACTATTGTAATACCCATGTACGCAACCTTATCTATCCCATAAACATGAAGTGCACCTATCTTATATGCAAGGAAGCATATTCTCATATATGTGCAGTTATTCGTGCTGTGCTAATTCTGCGTTTGTTCCGTTTAACTGTGTTGGTAGCCAAGAACGTTTTACTTTGTAATTAGACAAGAGAATCAAACTGACTGTTTATAAGAAAATAACTTAATGCTAAGCCATAAATACTGAAATTTTAATTTATTTGAATTAACCGAATTTAATTTAGAAAATAATGTAGTTGTATAAGTAGTATGAACATGTCATTGTTTAATTATTTTAATTATTTAATTATTAATTGCTTAATTATTAATTGCTTAATTATTTTATTTGCATAAACCTAGAGCTTGCATAATTATCTTACCCATGATGATCTTATTAGCGTCGTCCTCCTAAAGAATGGTATCTAAACCTATAGGAAAAATACCTTTCAAAAACTTTGTAACATTTTATAATTAATCATAATTCAATGGTACTAATTAAAGAGGCCAAAAACTGCATTTAAATTAATTTAATTAAGCACGCGCATGTGTTAAAAGGAGAAAGACAATCACGTGACGAAATAAACCAATTAAATTAATGTGACGAAAACAATTGATGCATTCGCAATATGAAAATCATAAATGAAAAGCAATGGATGGTTATAAAAACACGAAAACTACAGAAAAGTAAATGAGAGATGCAAGTTATGTGAATCACGGTACGTACTTTACAAAAACACTGCCAATGTATAAACTTAGGTCCACCTAGGTCAAGTGCATGAAATTGTTGCGTTTTTTAAACTTTTCTCTGCACACAAAACCTGGCAGACCTCGCATGGTAGAACGACATACATTCAACTATAAAAATTGCATCTGTCACCCCATTTCTGTTGACAATAAAAAGGCAAAAAGTACAAATGTGTCAAGTTTTGACTTTTGATTTTTTCATATTTGGTAAATGGCAAACAAAAGGTTAAATGTTCTTTATACACGATACAATTTTTTTGAACGTTTTGCATTCACGATATGTCTGCTAAGTTTGTTTGGGAAAAGAATGCTTCGTATGGCATATTTCTCACGATGAAAAACAATGCCACTTTGTATCTTACATAAAGTCATGTTTGATCACCGGAAACGGACTCTATATATTTACAACGGTAATTGGTCCTTAAACTCTAGTTACTTTTGAGTGCAACTATGCAGTTCAAGAAGCGCATCCAAATAAATTAATAAAGTTAATTATTGCACAATAATTATATTACGGATAATTGAAAATTATTCTCTATAATCATTTTATTAAATATTTTATGATATGTTCGAAAGTACTTTAGTGAAAGAAATTGTGGGATAAAAAATGTTTTTATAAGAGCATGCTTTCCTGATAAAAGATTTATATTAATTTATGCAAATCCAAAAGAATTTTTGGGAGGTACATATGTATTGGTACTCAGTTGAAGTTGTACTCAAATAAAGAATTTAAACTTCAGTGCAAAAGCCAATTTTTCGTTCTATATTTGTACATTTGAATGACTTGAGAAGCTAGAGTATGTAATATCAAAGATATTATAAAGCAAAAACTCTAGAGACGACACGCCCAAAAATAACTTCCAAAGCATTCAGTCAGTGCTTGTGAAAGAAAGCCTCACTATACAGTATGCATGTCAATCGGAACATAAAACATCATTTGACATACAACATAAAGACATTTTGTATTTATTCATTACAAAGAACAGACCTATGATTAATCTTTCTTTAAGTTCGCTAGCATAAAATGGCTGTTTCTAAGCGAGGTGAATTAATTTAAATTTTGGTTGGCTCAACTAGGCATGTGACCAACCTTTAACACCATCAACACTAAGAATGAAATCTAACCGTCACGAAACATGACCATGAATAGCGTAGACTACAGAAAGACATATGGGAAGGAAAGCTTGAATGTTCAACGCTCAGATTGTTGTTGTGGCTGATTCGAAGACATGCAAGCAAACAAGAACTATAGAAACCGGATAATATTTATCTCTAATGACTTTATTACACAGCTCATTCAAAAGGAACGCCTATAAAGATAATAGTTGCCTATTTCATGCTGCTTTGTATTGTGTCCTAACTCAATGCTGTATGCGATAATTACGTCTAGTGTGGTGACAACAATGTGCAAATTGTAACAAATTATGGACGACTGAGAAAATCAATGTCAAATTATCGCTTTGACTATATGGTCAGTAAGCAATTTTCATCAAAACCTTTTAAAAGTACTCCGCCTGCTTTTTCGTGTGTCTGTCATCTGAATATATTCGCAGTATATTCGCTTTCGATCCGGTAGCTTATTCTATCAATTATATTACATTGTCGTAAGAATACCACTATACTCACACGGTATTTGCATAAGGTGGTTGACAGATCCAACACATTCTACCTGACATTTTGTTTCTACGATTGAAAGGTAAGGGAATCTAAATAGATTTTATTTAACTATTAATTTAATTATTTTTAATAATAGGTTTATACAACACTAATATAGCTCAATTCACGAATATCGTAATTTTTGGTTCAGACGTTAAAAATTTACGTCATTCAGCCTGCATCAAAAGTCTGGCTTTGCACATGCACGTAGCGTATTTCGTACGGCCTATATATGGGTATTACAAAACATTAAACATTTTCCAACTCTAAATTTTTTTGATAGGTAGTTTAGTCCCGCAAACTGCCAAAATTTGTTCATTATTAAAAACTGACAGCATGCATAATATGTATGCTTCACATAGATTATTTCTGACAATGTGTCACAACAAAGGCATCTAATGTGATGACATATCAGGTTTCTGTTTGATTTTTCAAGCGAAGGCCCTTCGTCTTGAAGTTAGTAGCCAAGTATAGTAACAATTCGCCAACCAGACGAAGGGCCTTCGCTCGAAACGTCGAAATTTGTTCTATTTTACAAGCCTATAGTTGCATCATACACAGATCAAAGTCCGCAAAATCTAATATGCATGTCATGTCAACTTCTCTATGCCCTTGCATACTTGTAACACCGACACTGTTATACCATGGAAACAAACTATATATGTTTCCTTATATACATGCAAGCAACAAGTCTGTGTGAGGCTATACTGCATGCCGATTCAACAATCACAGTCTTAAAATAACCTTCTAACTCCTATTTCCTTCAAAAACTACCACATGCATGTATACTTTAAGCTATAACAATAAATATACAACCTAGAAAACATTTGTAGGGTATAAATCAGGCAAATTCGCATGAAATTTAAGGGGGGAAACGCATAAGAAACTGCGATTTTCAGAAACAAAAGGGTGGTAATATGGTGGCAACCTACCCCCCCCCCCCAAATATTTCACCACTGGCAATATAATGCAGTTGGTTTTATGGAGGAGGTGCGACGGTACGACATTGTATACTTTTTATACTAGGCATTGTTTTGTACGTTGTAGCTATATGCTACGAGCGACTCAAGAGCACGGGAAATATCAATTAAAATATTGGTTAACATTTTTTCTTTGGTGGAATATCACTGCCGCTTGTATAAGATTAATGCCTGTATGGGACATAATAACCTATCAGTACTTATTAAAAAAGATCAATTGATATAGAACAGCTAGCCTTTTCTACTAACCTTCGAAAATTTTGAAAAACAGTTTCTACGCGTAGTTTTCTTCTGCCAGACAGTGTTAATTTATTTGGTTAAAAATAAATGTTTGATGCAAAAATTTACATTCCTCGCTGTCAGTATACTAGAGGTCAAGGTGAAACAAAACTCGGTGCGTAACTTCGTATATAGTTGCTTTGAATATCTAATTGTCTCACATGTCATACGCTTTGTTTTACTTACACAGACAGAGAAAGCGTACTGACTATACTTAATTGAGATTCAATTAATTGAATAATTGTACTATTTCACGTGAGAAAATTCAAACTTGTTGCGCATGAAGAAGAAAAGAACATTTTGCCCGCAGCCACAGTGTTAATGCCATGCTTAGTATAATCAAAGCAGAGAAAAACAATGCCAATTATTGATATAAACTTGTGTAAACACGTATGTATACATGAGTAAAAAAGTTGCATGAAACAACTTGCAATAATAAACAATGCAGAGTGCATAAAAAGTATAGTCCAACTTTGCCATGACCATGTACAGTAATTGAGACGTTATGACTATGTATATTAATTGCGTCTATAGATTTACTTTTTTCTTATCAATAACAATCAGGCCTTTACTTGTCAAATGATACCAGTTTTTTGCATCATTGCAAACAAAAATGACAAAACACCATGCGATTAAAAATTGCAAGTTGAAATCACATTTTTCCACCACAGTGTGCATTAATAATGTACGGTGCATCAGGGCGCATTGCCTCTTAAAGGGTTACATTTGAATTCGAAATGCAAATAATTTGAATAGTACTGATCAAACAACAGCTATGCACTTGTCTACTCAGTTCCCAATGGGGACAAATGCAATTTCAATATGGTCTTATTACAAACAAACAAATCAATCGATCACCCAACATAATATACAGTGCATGGAACCCAGCCATACGACCACTTCGTTAATACGACCACCCAGATAATACGACCACTTTTCATTTCCCCGAACAACACCTAAGTATTTTTCTCATCTGAAGACCCCGTTAATACGACCACCTCGTTAATACGACCAACGACCACCTTTTGATGTCTCCAACTCTTTAATAATATACCAAACAATGCCCCGTTGACCGTTTATGTAGTGAAGACAAGCGTAATTTAATATATCATAGTCAAACAATTCAACAGTAAATTAGATTACATACGGCTAAAAGAAAGTGTAAACTTGACAAAGCGTTTTCCACTGTTGATTTAGTATTAGTCTCTATTAACTAAGTTTTATTGCGGTTTTTTTGCTTGTCATTCCTGCCGCTCTTTTCTTTCGTTCGTTTTTGGCCACAATCTCTTTGACTCTAACAGATACGTTATTTGGAATGTCCAGCAACTTGCCCAAGCAACTTGCCAAGCATGTCAATGTTTCTTTCCAGACCAATTCTACAGAAAAATATTACATTTCTACGGAAAATGACTGCATTTGTACGGAAAACAAGCTATATATTCTACGGAACAAGCATAATTTTCTACGGAAGATGCATGTCCCTATAATGGGCCACCGTAATAAATGCCTTGGACCTCCATCCCAAACCCACCACCCCGATTGATCGTTTTTCCAATAACTTTGACATTTGAATTTGCTGAAGTCAATTGCCAAGCACAAACGGTTCGCTTCAATGTCGACAAATTCAACCGAAGCTGACAGCCTCTTTTGAACCTACAGGCGTTTATATAGTCAAAGAGACGCGATTTATTTATCAGGGATGAGAATTTACGGTATCTATTTCAGTTGTGTTCAGTAAATAAAATATGTTTCTAAATTTTTAATTAATAACTGAACTATGACCTGTTTGGTATGACGTAATTAAAAAATATCTGTGCCATAATTTGATCCGACTCCTACATGTTAACACGATTTTTGAATTGTTGAAAAGAATTATCAAGGCCTCAGGCTTCAGTTGATAACACAAACTTCAGCCTTGATCATTCTTTATATCATGCTTAAAAGTTCAGCCTTTTGAATGATGGTTTTTAAGGTGCATTTCAGCCCTTTTAATTGAAAAAACTAACCAGGAGAATCAATTAATCATAATTCAAGATCAGCAAACTTAATGTTTTAACATTTTAAAACATTTTTATTGTTAAAAACATTGAATTTACTGATCTTGAATTATGCATAATTGACTTTCCTAGATAATTTTTTCAATTAAAAGGACTGAAATGCACCTTAAAAACCATCATTCAAAAGGCTGATCTGTGCCTTTAAGTTCTCAACCCACAGCAAGACCCAGGCAACTATTTTGGCAATGCTATAACAGTGTAATAACTGTAATGTACCGAATATAGTACAGTATATAATCTGCAATTGGAAGAGTAAACACTATGAACAAATTTTAAAGACACCTAGCTACGGTAAAAGTTAGATATTCAGTATATTAATGGTACATGATCTGCAATAAAGGCTTTGTTATGGTAAATTAATCCAGTGAGCACCCTTGGCTCTCCCCGTTATGAGTAAAATCATCTGGTGTTAGACAGTGTAAAATAATAAAGTATTTAAACTATTTCTCCAAAATGAGACAGCCCACATGAAGAAAGTTGGTATTACAATAGCAAAAGTGACATACAAACCTTTCAAAACTGCAATATTGGGGCTTCGGTGGTGAAGTGGTTAGCGCACTTGCCTTTCACCTCTAAGGTTGCAGGTTCAAATCTCAGAGAGAACTTTCTCAATGCGACTCGTTCGAACCCAGTCCTCATGCGAAAAGAATAAAAGTAAATGTTCAGCCGAAAGTCGTGGGTTTTCTCCGGGTACAGGTTTCCTCCCACAGGGAAAGTTGACAGGGTGGGTTAGGTAAAAGGGCCCACAGTAATTGGCATATGCTGTTGTGGTGACCCTGCACTATGCCCTGCCTTAGTTGGCAAAGCTAAATAAACAAATAAATAAATATCACTGGCTTTGAAATTCTGATGTAGAGACACCTCCTGTATATCTTACAATATGCAAAGTAGCGAACGCATGGTCACTTGTGACATTAATATAGGGTCATTTTTGTAGGATTACAAATTCACATTGATCTATTAAATATATTATATTATATTAAAGTTTATATACTAATATATAAATAAAATGGTACCTGGATATTATTCAAATTCGGCATAAAACATAACGACTGTCAACATCAAACTGTTCTAGAATAACCGTTTCGTATTGGGTTTTTAGGAAATTATTATGTAAAAGTATAAATGAAAACTTGAAAATACACACTCGATAATATTTGTGACACATGGCACATTTGTTCAAATATGGCGCCTTCATGCGCAGGCTTAACATTTCCTGATCTCTAAAATTCAGGCCGCACTGGATGTCTGGATATATCCACCATCTCTAGAAACGATTATAACTATGATACCTGTAAAATATAAGCAGAACTTCGACGTTTCGAGCGAAGGACATTCGTCGTGAAGCTAGTGGCGATTTTGGTTTAGCTGTTTGCGTGAACATTTTTTAGAATAGCATAAAGACTAAAATAAAACAATTTAAAACTGAAATATGCCGCTTAGAAAGTACGTTGCCGATTATGATTTAATCTTGCCCGGCTAGACATGTGTAATGAATGTGGCAGTCACGCGACCTTAGTTAGTTGTTCTTAATCTTTTCCAAACTATCATCTTTTCTATTTAAGTTAAAACATAGTTGGAACATTCATCAGACCTTTTTTTTATTAATCTATAGAGCTTAAAATGCCTCCCATAACAATATGCGTGGCTGCCAACTCTCATCTCGTTTCAAGTAGCTTGAAGCATGATGGTTTACAAAAATTTATAATAGCATTGTATGATATTGATCGAGGACAGTTGTTTTAAAACACTCTTCAGACTTTTGCCGCCATGAAAATATTCATATTCGAATTGAATGCAACGGGAATTCTGAAATAGGTATTTTGTCGTCTAGACAAGATCGAGGATTTGATTAAGAACGCGAAAAGCATGTATTGAACAACGTTTGTATGAAGCTTCAGTACATATACGTGTTTATTATATAGTAGAGAGTGAGATACTGAAAATACACAGTGAGATATTTTCCATAATTATCTTCACTAGTGAAGACCACTAGTGAAGATATCGATCACGTGACTTTTTCCAATTTGCTTTTAAGCGTGAAATTTCACAATTTTTGCTTGGGACTATACAGAACATTACACGGTGGCTTGAAGATATGATTTTTATCTTCTCGTGTTAAAAACAATATTTTACTCACTCGCTGCGCTCGTTCGTAAAATATTGTTTTCACCACTCGGAGATAAAAGTCATATATTCGCGCCGCCGTGTAATATCCTCTATATATATGTACTGAAAGCTATCTGGTAAGTGGCCTTGCAATCTTCGTTGCGGAGCAGCGGAGGTTCAAATTCGCCGGACAAGCTAAGTCAGTTCCGAATAGGATGTGTGTTAAATTTGTTCACGTGCTTAGACATTGACGTGCTTAAACTTAAACGTGCAGAGTGTCATTTGCGCATTCCAAAAGCATGCACAAAACTCGGTTCCAAATAAACAAAAATCTGTCTGGGACTCTGGGTCTTTAACACCCGAGCATAATACTACTGCAACTGATTTCAGTTGTGTCCTATGGCTATGAGCTTATTTATTGTGTCTTATCATACTTAAAACATTAAGTAAATCTTTAATTTTATTCAATAAAACGGTAAACTGACCAAACTAGCCATGTCACACAGGCATTAAAATAGCGTGTCCTTGTACACACTTTGTGTCCTTGTAAAAGGCGAATATGTGCCCTTGTAAATTGAAAAGTGTGTACTTGAAAATATATTAAACTGAAAATATATTAATGTAATCCACGCAAAATGGCCAAATATTTTCCAAATTCTGTTCTCAGAACACTGGAAATGCCATTTCAGAGACCCCCTTAAAAGCTCGCGTCTTCGACGCTAAACTTGTGGCTTTGCCACTCGTTCTCGTGAGTCTGCGCATTTATACCAAAAATACGCCTCTGAAGGCAAAGTGTGTCCTTGTAAAAATTCCGTATTTAATGCCTGCCATGTCAAGAGCATGGTGAATATGTAATTCACTTGACGAACTAAGTAATTAAGTAAATGGTGTGCAGGCTTGGCAAGAACGCACAAAAATAACGACCTATGACGTTGAAAATACCACTGCAGTTAAATATAGACTGTAATTATGTCAGTTGTCAGTATAGATAGATGATGTTTGAATTATTACCTATCATTTATATAGTGGACAGGTCACTGAGCACTTGCTGTCACTCGTAGTCTAGTGATATTAACAACATTAACATGCTGTGTTATTTTCACGTTAGTTTTGGAAAACTACACAGGCTTGGAGACTTCAAAGTTGCCAGATTGGCAAGAATTATTTCAAAACAACCATTGCACCCATGGAATTCCTTTTGACCACGCCCATAACGCGAGCCGATTAAAATCTGTTTAAGTATCACAGCATATTGCCCATAGAGACCCTTTGTCCCATTTAACTTAATATGTGATTATGTTAAACATTATTAGCGACATAAACTTGACAGCCTTAAACGCTTTCAATAAAAGGCCTAAGTGAAATCATATTAAATCCAGCGGCTAGAGGTTTAGAGATAATTGCTTACATTGAATTTTAATGACGGGATTAAGTTTAGGAAGTGAAATTTACTTTTGAACAAACACGGCACGATTAAAAATTGCGTTGAAATGCAGGAGGAGCATCTCTGCGCCGTGTTAATGCGCTAAGTGAGATTTCATTCAGCATAGCTGTTAAACGTTTATCTCAAAGATCTTGCTTGGCATGCATCGAGGCCGCCTTGAGGATGTTTGGGATAACTTCTTAGGAAGTGGTTTAGCCAGGCAATTAGATTTGTTCAAACAACTGTGTCCCGCTAATACCTTCTAAGTTGACTGCTTCACAATGAGGTTAATTCCACAAGCTGAATTCAATTGTTTGCGGCAAAAATGAAAGAGGAATATTTTTCCAATTTCCTGTGTTCTCTTCAACTTCAAATACAAATATAATCTAATACCGATCAACAAAGTTGTGGGCGTACTTCATTCAACGACGTTGTCGCTTCTACATGACTTCATTTTTGAATTCTTCCCTTTCATAGGATTGCATACCGAAGTTTTCGAGTTCACGCAACTGTCCAATCAGTGAAAGTTTCGTAATACGCCGTTAAAAAATACATACGTCGTACGACAAGGGATCATACACAAAGTACACACGAGCGAGTGACCAGCAACTTTTGGACAATATAAACTGCAAGTATGATTTCTGAATTGAAGAAAAACCTTATAACATGGTTCCTTTTACTGTGTTTTACAAGACCAGTCATCTGCTGTGTGTCAAAGCCAGGAGGTTCGTCAAGGAGACCTCCACGTACAGCGTTTTATTTGCATCAAAAAGTCCCCGACATTGATGAGTATTCGCAGGGTGCGAGTGGAAAACCAAAAGAACCGATAAAATATGGTAGTCCAGCGTTTGAGGGGTTAACGATTAACTATAATCCTGGTATAGTTTTTGAGCACAAGCCTAAAACATCTGGCGACACTCGAATGATGACCCAGGTGTGTAGTTGTGCTGTGTTTCATTTACAGTATAAATACAATACTCAATAGATGCCTTTCCTTACTATAAAAAAAACTTCTCGCCTTATTCACCATATCAGAATTCTTCTATAAGAAGCTTTGTGTATTCAAAAGATTTTTATGGTGTGTTTTTTTTTTCGTTTAGAGATGCAGGGATGCTTTAAACAAGCTAGAAAAACTCGTGAAGGAAAAATGGCCAAGAATAAAGCTTCGTGTTATTGCAGCTTGGGACGAAGAGACGTATCATAAACACGATATTAGTTCGCTACACTACGAAGGACGTGCTGTTGATATTACAACTTCTGACAGGGATAGGTCAAAGTTAGGACTTCTTGCAAGATTGGCTGTCGAAGCTGGTTTTGACTGGGTGAATTACGTTCAGAAATACAGAGTTCATGCCTCTGTGCGTGTTGGTAAGTTCAATTTTGTTGTTGTTTGAGATAGTATTGAATCGTTTTATTCGTTTACACGGATTTACATCGCCGGTATACGTTAGTCCCTATTTCTAATTTCGTCTTGTTCTGAATTAACTTTAATACCGGGGAAATGCGCTCGTGCACTGGCCAAGACAAGCATATAGTATTAAAATCATAAACATTATAAACTTTGTTACATGTGTTTTTGTAGTAAAACCATTATGAAAGAATATTGTGAATACATTTGTATTTTAATATAACAACAGAACTTGTTATTTGATTTACCAGATAATTTCGCTTTGTTTTACCAAATAAAATACGTATTTTGATTTGAACTTCAAAAGTATTTCAGTAATTCAGTAAAGCCAGAATCGAACGAGGATGAGAGTACATGATGAGAGTTGGCAGTCACATGCAGGACCTTGGTTCGCTATCCAACACTATCATCTTTTAAAACATAGTTCGGCATACTTGCATGGAACACTCATCAAATATTATTTCAAATCTAGAGCTGTAATTTAATGTTCCTGACCTTGTAACAGTGCGTGACTATAGCTGCCAACTCTCATCCTCGTTTGACCAAGCCTTATAAAGGGAATATAGATTATAGTTTAGATTTACCAGTCTTTTAAAAATTTCAAAAAGTATCCTCCTAAGCATATCTACTTAGCGGATTCCTGTGGCCTTGGTCACTGGTCGCAATATTCAGTGACTGGCATGATTTACACGCCAACCAACGACCACTGTAAACCTTCAAAAATCGAACGGCTCATTACTCATTATTTCACAGACATTAGTCGAGTCTTTGCACTTCCCTGACTTGAGTATACGAACGTCACAATCTGAACGCTTTCCTAATAAATTCAGTAAAATGTTCTAATTAAGTCCAGAATCTTGTTTGTGATCATGAAAAACTAAGTTTGTAATTGGATACTTCCTGATTTGTATGCTTGTCTTTGTGACAAGCAATCACATAAAATTTCGTACAGATACAGGACACATTTGTTATCAAACTGATTCATTTTAGCATGATAGAAAATATATTATATAATACCTTATTAAATTCTAATCATTTAATTGGCTGTTTATGGTCACGTGATATTGAATAGAAAATTCCATTTCCCAAGAGTGCAATGGAACACGTTCCATTGCACTCTCCGCGAGTGCAATGGAATAAAACGTACAGTGCAATTGCACTCTTTGTGTTTTCGATAAATCGCATCCCTCAAAATGCTTCTCATACGAATCTATTAGTCTATTTTGGTATTATATAAAACAAATAATGAATGTTTCTTCGTGCAATGGTAAGAATATTTTCATTCGGTGAAAGATGGAATGTTCCATTCAACTCGGCTGTCGCCTCGTTGAATGGAACATTCCATCTTTCACCTCATGAAAATATTCTTACCATTGCACTCGTAAACATTCATTATTTGTATAATATTATATAATATGCTCATGCAATGGCACAGCCAAGGTGTGTTTACAGCAAATGTTACCCCGATAGTTGCATACATATGCCTCAGTGCGAGTCATAAGTGTTCCCTTGCACGAAGCATTATTTTTGGCTCATTTTTCTAGACCGTAGTAAAGCTGACACTCATTTTAAGGACATGGGATGTTTCAGAAGCAGTTCATTGGTCAGACTGGTAGATGGCAGAACCACAACGATGAATAAACTGAAACTCGGTGATAAAGTACAAAGTATGGATAAAGATGGAAAAATAGTTTACAGTGAAGTTGCTATGTTCTTGGACAATAAACCAAACAAGAAGGATGTACTCTACTTTGTTATACAGACTGAGAACCCTAGAAGAAAACTATTCCTTACCAAGTCTCATCTGATATATGTCAGAAGACGATTTTCATCATTTTGGAAAGTACAATTTGCTAAACTGATCCAGAAAGGAGATTTTGTTAAAGTCTGGAGTGATGGAAAATTAGTGGCAGCGGAAGTAACTGGTATTTCTATTTCTAACGAACGAGGATTGATTGCTCCATTGACAAACGAAGGAAATATTATTGTTGACGGTGTGCTGGCTTCATGTTATGCTTTGTTAGAGGATCATGAGTTCGCCGACTCGATATTCTGGCCAGCAAAGGTTCTATATAAACATTTTCCTAACCTGCTCAATTCAGAAAATACACCACAGCAAGGCGTACATTGGTATGCAAGATTAATGCTGTTTTTGAACGAGTATTTTTCTGTATTAACTTAACGAGATAATAAGATGGGGATTTCAACTGACAGGGACAATATTTCACTATAGCACTAGAATATGTAGTAAACTTAATTTTAAACTGTTAATTAATTTGTAAATACAAACAGTCCAAAAATCCGTTGAACAATACATACTCAGTTTCATGTTACAGTATACCTCTGATTGAATCCCCGAACAGATTAATATTAAAAAATTAAGTTAATTTATTTAAACGATTGAAAATCGTATCCGATGTAATATTCGGACGCGATTCGGCAACGCGACGCGAATTTTCAGTTTTCAAAAACAAATAAAACCGTCAACGGATAAAAACTTTACAAGATATGCAGACCAAATAGCTAAAATTGCTTCAATATGGGCCTTTGCAGGAACGAACATTGAAAATATAATATAATATAAAAATAGACATGTAACGCGGACAATAGTTTCTTGCAATATATTAATAAATAGCCGTCTTAATATAGACGCTACTGTACAGTTGTGTTATTAGTGGAATAGGTTGTGTTAACTTAACGTTAAATTTTGTAGTGTATAAACTGCCCTGAGGAATCAGTTCAAACCCAGTGACGTAAGCCATAAAGACTTTGTCTTTGGTTAATTGTGTATATACAAACAATACATGTATTATCAATATTATTAATATGTAAAGTATACAACTATTTAATAAGATATTAAATAATCACATCATATACCAATTTTCAATGTTTGATGTATGTGGAATGAAGGTACAGATGACGGTGCATGGTGTCTTGGTGAGTTTTTACGAGCACCATTCATTAGCATTTGCACCAGACAATGGGAAAACTGAACTGTTGTTAATCTGGTCTGAACCGGCATCTGAAAAAGAAATTTCGACGTTTTGTGTGAAGGCACGTCTGGACATTTGTAGAGTGGTGATTTTCAGGCGGTTCAGATGAAAGCCAGTTTATTGCAGAGTACTTTCTGTTCATTATTACGGCAAAACCGCGGGTCCGTCCTCTCGTCCAGAAAAAAAGTATCGTGCTTAATGCGACTATACTTTCCTAACGTCGTCAAATCGACGATTTAGAAATGGCGACATTTGGTTGGTCTGCCAGTATTTTGTTCTGATATTAGCTATTATTAGTTTAAACATTTTAGCAGTAATAGCGTAGGAATGTAGTCGCCGGCATTCCTGAATGTTTCGACCATTGTCGTACCCAGAGCATGGCCGTTTGCAGGTTAGGTAGTGGCACAAAAACGTAAACAAGATACTTTTGGGGACGAGAGGAATGATACGCGGTTTTAGTACCGACGACATTGGCACCAGACAAATTGCAACAAATTATTTTGTGTACACTTAAAGTGTACACTTAAACTGAATGCAACAAAAGATCAATATTTTGTGTCGTACACTACGTCACTACCAATTGGGCAGAATGTGGTGCCTCTTCTCTAAAATACCCCCAGACTTATTTTCGTAATGCTAACTTCGAGACTATATAATAAATTATCATGCAGCTTGAAATATTTTCACGTCTTTGTACAATCCTCTAAGGTAAAGGTACTGCAAAAAACAGAACCTGAGTATTTTGACTCAAAAAACTTGAGTAAAATAATGCACTCACAGATGCAGTGACTTATTATTGAGTAAAATTACTCAAATTCAAGAGCAAATTAATTACTCTTTTAATAAAGTGAATCTTTATTCAGAGTCACTGTGGGTGCATTAATTTACTCACGTTTTTGAGTCAAAATACTCGGGGACCTTTTGAATGTTCCAACGTTGTCAAGACAACCACGATCATGACGGAAAAAGCTAATTTTAAACTTAATCAATATATTAACACTTGCAATTGAAATTTCTCAATTAAATTCTATATTGACAATGAGAACTTGCATATTTGCAACTATAAATTGCATTTATGAAATAGTTTTGAGTAAACGTATCCAGGCAAGGCCATATGACATCTGGGCGAGTCACATTCAACAACTGGGTCGTAGAACAACTACAGAACATGAAAGGTGTCACTAAACAACGTTTTATGACGCACTGGACTGAAAGAACTCTTGTCTTTGAAACATAAATGAAGAGTATACCTTCTTAATTGTTGCCCCCAGTATTGAACAAGACAGGTTGAGGCCTATATAAAAAAAGCTCGTCAATTACATGCACTTGGCTCCATATCTCTCTTCTCTGGGTCGCACGTCATACTATTCCCATTATTGTGAAGCACGACAGAACGCAGAGAAAGACAATTGGAAGAAGTAGGTTATATTTGAGTAAATTTTCCCCCAACACGTTCAGCGCCATACCACCCTTTTAATTTCACGATAATAATATAATTACAGGTCGGGCCAATTTGATCCCAATTAATTAAATTAAACTCCAGGACTTCCGTTCAGGTTTTTGTGCTTTAAAACTTTAAAATTTGTATTTATATTTATTGTGTATTAACACTGTGTGAAAATTTTATATGCGTCAGAAATCCAGTAAATAATATGACTATTATGACGCTTTCTTTTTGAGAGGTTTTTACAAGTTTGGGGTCTGTCAACTGTTGATGGACAAGTATTCAACGTGATAACACAAAAAACACATACTATGTGTGCAACTGTTTTATTAAAAGCAATATATTTACCCACGCGGAGGTTGAATAACAATATGAAAGAACAGCTTGACAGTTGTTCTCTACCACGAGATATTGATTTTTTATCTTTATTAACATCAGACATAACTCATAAGTCCAAGAACTTCTTTAAATCAGCCATAAGGAAGTATATTTTAATCACAAAGCACAATACGAGCGCTTACAATGATCAGAGAATATACACTAAGCTCATTCAAAACACTTCTTTCAACCTGCTATAATCGTTCATGAATCAGGGCATGTCTTGACCTCTTCTGTAAGCGCGGACTCTGTGGCAACCGAACGGTGGAATTATATATTTATATTTAGCATAACACTTAACAGATTAAGAGCTACAGTTATAACTTGCAGTAATATCTGGGAGCAAGGTCACAAGCCCTTGTTTAGCACACTTCGGCGAAGGCTAATTTTGTCTAAAACGGCTAGTTTCCAAATCAAATCCAGTTTACCTGTTAGCGCAGGTGGGATTGGGCCATTTGGGCTGACACGATCATCCTAGCTAGTATATGTCCTTTCCAGGGGAACAAAAACAATGAAAAACGTTTTTGTCTCTGATGCAATTGTTATTTCTTACGCCCCCTTGTCATGCACTAAAGATTTAATATGAAGTGACATGTTGTCTTTTGATCGTGAATTGTGATTTTGAAATTTGGTTGGGCAGGGCAAAATGCAAGGTTAAAAACTAGGTTCCAATAAAAACATTCACCGTGTAAGTAACTAATCCGAAAATCTGTCCGTTATTTCCAACCAAAGTAGATTCAGTTAGATCTATATATTTGACTTAATATTTAAAACCGTCCATTTATCACCTGGACATACACCATACTGTATTATGATCAGTACAAGATGGCATCTTTACTGAATAAAAACTTCATCTGTATTCCTTGTCCGGCTGTTAATACTAATAGGGTCAGTTTATGATTATGAACGAATACAGAGTACGAATAATAGCCAGAAAACGAATACAGATTACTGGGATTTACTGGTGATTAATTAAGTAGCACGATATTATTATTTGGAGTGATTTTGGGATTTAGATTTATTAATCTATTTTATATTCGGGTATTTTTGTTCAGAAGAAAAGGATACGCATTGTGTTCAAAATTTACTCAGAATTTCGGATAATTCGCCCGCGCCCCCTAACTAGGCCTCTCAGATACATATTAAAGTCGAATATATATATAATAAACACTGAAAGGGAACAAGATAAATTTAGTAGATATTTAATGTATTATTAACTCTCTCGAACGAATTAGCTCTCGCGAAACCATCTATTGGTTTTGCAGCTCTGTTTTGCAGGAAGATACTAGACTTCCAACCTCAGTTCCATTATAGTGATTATATTGGAGCGATTGCCCGTCTCGAATACACCCTTCCCAAAAGTACTTAGCCATGGCTATAGAGCCTCGTTTCCATGTTTGAGACATTGGCTTTAGAGCCCTTTATCTTGTTACCGATTGCAAAATTCTACTAGACATGCATGGTCTTTTCTATTCACTGATATAACTATATGGTTTCGTAAATGTGTCAACTGTAACACGATAAAAGGCTCTAAATTCATTATCTCAATCACGAAAACGAGGCCGCTCTATAGCTTAAACGGAGCACTTTCTGGAAGGGTGCCTCCAAAAACCTTTCTTAGCGTTTTTTCCTCACAAATAAACCTGACCACAACCTGCTTTTGAAAAACCAAAGAATTCAATTATCATTTCGCGAGCAACGACTTCATTCTGAACTACCCTCCTCGTGATGTTACCTACAGAGACAGACTAATATCCTTAAAACATTCTCCCACTTGAACACAGGCGTGAACTTCATGACCTAACACTATTATACAAATTGGAAATCAAATACAACCTTATTAATGTCACCTTTAACTAATACCTTACACCTGCAACTAACCGGCCCATTCCCTACAGATCTTCAAGCAACATCTACACACTTATTATAAGGCCAAACTGTTTACCTACATACCACCATAGATAATTTTACTCAAAAATTCGTTGTACAGTGTTCGTATGTTCTACATGTTAAGTTGCATGTAATCTGTGATATGTTCGTCAGTGGCGTAACGCAACCGCTGGGGGGCCTCCGTCAATCGGCCACTTTGGGCCCCTTTGCTCCACTAAAAATAGGCTCCAAAAATTTTTCTCGGAACAATTTATTTTTGGCGACCCCCCCCCCCCCCCCCGTCGCCAAAAAATTTTCGGACATTGTACCATTTTAGGGGTCCAAAATTTTTTCCGGACATACCCAATAAAATTGCAATTAATTCATTCTAGTATCTCGTCCTTTACCTCAGCCGCGACGTACTTAATCCGTCGCAGCTTCGGGAAATTTCTCGACGGATTTTGCCTTTTCCAGAGAATGGTTTTTTTTATTCAATTCAATTAATTCAATTCCCCAGAAATGTGCTATCAAATTTTTTAAGGTCATTTTTGTCGGGGGCCCCTAAAGTTCGGGGGCCCCCCGTCACTGGACACCCTGACACCCTCCCGTTACGCCACTGATGTTCGTACATAATTGTCTTAGTACGTCTCGTTATCCATTAATTGTTAAGGGGTCGAATATCAATTGGAATTTAGTTTCTGTTTTCTTCTCCTGTCACAGCATTTTCTAGTTATTGTTAGATCTCTATGTAAATGTATGTCTTTTATGTGTGTAACAAAATGAATAAATAAATAAATAAATGTGGTTTTTCTCAGTCATGTGAACAGGTTAAAACACTCGTACCCGGGCTTATCCTGGAGGAATTTAATTGATACACCACTGGCTTCGATTCTTATCGATCATATCACATCCAGTTATTAGGCTACTGAATTTTGGGTGAACATTTTTATACAATATCTGAATTTGGAGTCATTCAATAACTGTTTTTAACTCCTAACCAATTGCCCGACTGTATATAGTCATTCTGAATCAGGAGGCGTATTACAAAAGTGAGATCCAACACGTACACTTTAACTCTTTACTATTAAGTGAAGAATTTTGTTAGGTACCCTTTGCATTAGTTATACAGTATAGTCATACAAACTTATCCTCGACGAATATAATTGTAATGTTAAGGCCTGTTTGCACTTGCAATTTCTGCTGCGATTTTAGGTGCGATTTTCTTCGTCTGATGGATGTGAACGAGTGGATGAGTTATGAATGTTCGGATGAGGGTACATCAGTGAGGCATATACTTAGAACATTCATAAGATATTTACTCGTTCACATGCACCTAAAATCGCAGCAAAAATTGCAAGTGTAAACGAGCCTTTAAGCTGATTCTTGGCAGTTTAGTCATATAGTTTCCTACGTCATACATCAATACACATGGGAATTTGCGATAACAGTTTTGGCGCATGGGAACTTACTGAATGTACTTAATATGTCTTAACTCCCTCACCCTAATGTCGTGTTTAAGAGGTTAAGTCAAAGATAAACAAAGCTTAACTTCAAAGTATTATTAAGCATTGAAATGAAATGTATTTTGAGGATATGTTTTCAGCCATAGGATATCTTTAATTTTCACGAAACTCATGAAAGTTATACTCTCGCTGTGTTTTCGTAGATCTTTTTACTATTCGTGTTAAGTGTTACGGCGCAGCAGATGGTGGCCAACGTCAGTAATTTCGACCCTGGCTGGAGCAAGCAAATTAATTAAGCTACATTGAGAAATAAACATGCAGAAATCGAAATAACTGCGGGTTTACCACCATCAGTCTGCTCGGTAATGCTTATAAAACCCACCTATACAAGTGTGCATGTTTTCTTTCATTTCTAACCCTGATTAGATATGTGCGTTTTGCACGAGTGATATTGCTATACATAAACAAAACTAAAAATTAAAATTTGTGACAAGTTCATTTTCAAGAACTTCAAAGAACTAAATGTCGAGTGTTTAATAAGCGTCAGAATCTTGTGTCATATATATTGGATGTATGCTGGTCTGACGCACTGGTAGTGGTTTGACTTTTTTACTTTTAATTTAAGTGTTTTGTCAGTCAGATTAGAGAGTTAAGAATTTTAGGTACTACTCTAGAAAGTCATAGACTACTGACTGGTCCCCACTAGTATTACAGATAGTTGCGAAATGAAATTTTGCGGTAAGCACAAAGAATGCTGAAAAATGCGGATGTTGTTGGCAGACAAATAAACTATAAGGTCAACTGTGGTTTTCATAAACCCTACTATTTCGCCCGCGTGGTCATGCCAAGGTCACCCTATAGAGACTATGTGGAAACAAAAGAGTAACACACCGGCCTTTCGGCAACGCACGTGGCGCGATTTTTCAGTTTTTGAAAGTTTACTTAATAAAACAGCCAATGAAAGGAAATTTTAAAATATATGTAGACCAGATAACTCAAAATGTTATAGCGCTTCTAAGTATTTGAAAAACTTAAACTAGGATCACTTATCGGTCAGTGAAAATCAGTGTTGTCGAATCGCGTCCGGTGTGTCTCGACCTTAACAATTAATACATTTTAAGTATTTTCGTTCCTTCTGCACGTGAAAAGTGATGTTATGGAAAAAGGCTATTTGACTGCAGATGAGTACGATTACCATCGAGGAGATCCTTCATTTCCGCGCCAGTTCTGCTTGCTAGTTGTGAGCATTACACTGGTGCGCAAATCTTGTTACTTCTTGTACTCGTAGCGACGTATAGCCGTGCCAATTAAGTTTAGCCCTCTATTATCAGCAGGCGCGAGTGCGAATGCAAGGCCAGCGGTGGCCAACTTAGAGAAGGTCTCATTAATGTATACATCAAATCATATGCGCACAAAGAAAGATGTTGTTTGACGCTACTTATTAATTAATGACATTTTACTCTAGGTGACTTTTCGCGCCAAATATCATCATTTTTTGTGCACATGTCATTTAATTGGTATATATAGGTGATGTCTTCCCTCGCATGGACCTAATAATGCGTAAACCGCCGTCAAGGAGTCTAGCTTTAATCCTCTTGAATTTGGCGCCAATATGATCAATATAGCAATAGCAGTGTTTGCCTGAAGAACGCAAGCAAAACATACAACTCAAACAAGGTCGCAAGTAAATTAAAATGAAACAATAAGATGTTTGATCTGACGCGACGCGCTAGATCCGGAAACAAACATTTAGAAAGAGGCGTAACTGCACATTGTGTAAATCTTTTCACAGTGTGTAAATCTTTCAAAAATTCAATTTCCGGAAGAGAATATGATTACAAAAACAAAATGTTTTTCAAGTCTTGAAAATTACACATACAACCCAAATCAAATTCGCCTGATATATGAAAGCAATATAACACAGTACAACACAATTTTTCTTGAAATTTTCTTGTATGGCTATTATTAGCAGGATTAATCCGGACCCATACGTTCTCGAGTCACGGCCTATATTAGCGAGGGTACGGCTCAATCTTCTTACTTTCTCATGAAAGGAACTTGCCTCTAAATGTCCTATCAATACATTTTTAGTATTTCTTGTGTGAAGTGAAGAAGTGAAGAACAACTGCAGTTAAATATGTCAAAAAGGTTAAATCTCGAACAGTTTGTGCCAGTGCAGGTAGCGATAATAACAAGACAGCTGCAGATTGAGAGAGATGCAACTACCTCAAAGTAAATATTGGCGTGGGTCAATTTCCCCAACCCACGCTACTATAACTTCCCTACTGATCTGAATCACCTTATCAGTCCCAGCTAGCCCCACCTTTGACGCCAAAAGAGAGGAATGCCCATTAGGTTATTGACGATGGTTCATGTTTCCATAAGGAAAATCACATACGAATACCAGTCTTGCTGGCCCAGAATCTGAAATGGTATTATGGTATATGTATTGCCATATTGTCACTCAAATAAATTCAGTGACGTCATGCACACTTTCCGATAAATAAAACAGGGAGAGGAGGACGCCTTTCCCCAAATTGCCCCCCTGTTGTCCGCGGTTAGAAGCCGGATGTGTGATTAATATTCTTCAGGGAAAATTGCCTTTCATAACTAAACTTTTGTTGTTGGCGTGCGACATTAAAACAATTATACCCAGGACGGCGAAACAGAGGGAGGGGAGCTAGGGGGGTTGGCCCCCAGACGTAAAAGTAAGACAGAGTAACTGAGTAAGACAGTAAGTGACGATTCTTGACTGCTGACTAAAAGGCAAAGTGAACAAAATTACCAACATTGTGATCAATGAAATATTTCTTAATTGAATAAACGAAATTTGAACTACGGGAGCTTCAGCACCCCTCACAGGTTTCATACATGTCTTGGTTAATTTAAAAAGCGTGAGCTTTTCCCATCGCCAGGTGGTTCGACTATGCTAATTTGCCGGCAATTTTAGCTCCCAACCAAGTCATATATAAACTGACCAAAACCAATTACAACAAAAATTCTCCAAAAAAATTGCTCCATCCAAACTTTTCATTTCGGTGCCAGAAAGTGCACGAAATGGCATTTCATCGCCTCACACAGAATACATAAATGTTCTTGGGATGTTGATTTTCGTATTACCCCAGTTGACAGAAGAACTAGCCGTACTATCTGTGAATTCATAGTGGTAATCTTCCTATATGTCTCTGATACAAAATAAATCTAAAATCTGAGTGAAATTCAAGTAGGGACTGAACGTTTGCTATAGATATCTTTACAGACTTCGGAAACTGCCGTAAGCATTCTTAAAATATAGAAAAATTCAAAACGTGCGTTAGTGAGACAAACGGATCTGCATACGCGGCCCAATATAACTTAACTGGTTGAAGTGCTGATAGCTGCTAAATCACTTCACTCTGTTCTCTCGTGACATAACCGCAATTAGCGAGAAATGTTGTTTAAATTTCAAGTATTTTAAACAGCCCACTTCCTTTTTCGTGCTGTTAAAAATTTTAAAAATGTTGGGACATGCAGACACCACTTTAGTGTAGGATGACATTGGATACTTTAAGAAGACCTTTTCTTGCATATAGCGACCAAATATTGCTTCAGGTCAATAATTAAGACAGGTGGTATTTGCGCAATTTAAGATCAACGTTTGGTCAAAACCAGAATAGGCCAAAAATATCATTACGCTGCATCTAGTTTTCAACAACACGCCATTTCTCTCTAGTTCTCGGTCTAGTTAAAAACGTAATTCCTTCCAAGAACCTTTTCCACAGTCATTATTTATGAATTGTCTATTATTGTGTGAGATTCTGCAGGTTAAATTGTACATTCATCGTGTTTTTAAGGCAATGGAAAGACATGGCAATACACAATTATTATAAAATTCCAGAATTTCAGAAATGCGCACGCCAAATTTTGAGGTTTATTGTTTAAACAGTGGCACTGGCGACAATTAAGTTAATATGTGTAGAGGTAGTATTAATTAGGTGTGCTTACATAGGTTGGGTGCATTGGGTATATAGAGTAAAACAACTGCATGTATGTGCAATTTTATAAACGGAGATAGCGCCTTAACTCCATGCTCGATTCTTAGTATTAAATACAGTATGGCGAGATTGAGTCAAACCAAGATTGTATATTATATTGTATCTTGGGAAAGGCGACATTCCAATAACGCCAACGTATACATTGGCACATGGCCAAAGCAGACTACTTGACCAAAACGGAAGATATTAATGAATTACCACTGGCCTAAAAAGCGTGCCGCAAAATAGTTGAATGCCACTTGTGTAGCATTAATTTAAGGTGGCAGGCGTGATTTACTAACAGATCAGGAAATTCCATGAAAAAAATTGGCGACGTCAGCTGACAGACAAAGTGAATACTCGGCATTTATAAATATTTTATTATGTGCATAGTATTGGTTTGAAGGTACTTTTATTTAAATAAAAGAATTCTCGTGGTAGTTGCTTGCTAAAAACGAGAAAATTGTATCGCAGTTAGTGTCCGTGAAATTTACATCTACCAATGGATTCAATATACAGGGTGTATAAAAAAACTGAACAGATTTGAAATTGCTCTCAATTTCGAAAAACAGCTCGTGGTATCAGGTGTTTGTTATATATAGATTCCTTGAGTACACATAATGTAGAATAATGAAAAAAAAATACTGGAACTCAAATTGTGTAAACCAGGGGGGGGGGTGTTTCTTTTCAAACAAACTAAAAATGGCTTGCGCACGAAATTTAAAAGCTTTAATCGTATCTTGAGTTAATGGATGGAAAATTTGTTGGGTTTTTAATTACTGTACAAAATTTCAGACAATTTGCTTTAGTTTAAGCACTTTAACTATTCATTTTTTCCTAAAAAAAATCAGCCTTTCGCATGCTTAATTAATGCCTTTACCTAATTTGCATATTGCTGACATATGCAAATTAGGCAAAGGCATTATTAATTAAGCATGCAAAAGCTGATTATTTTAGGAAAAATGTACGTTTGCGTGAATAGTTAAAGGGGCTTAAACTGAAGCAAATTGTCTGAAATTTCGTGCAGCAATTAAACACCCAACACATTTTTCACCCATTAACTCAAAATACGATTAAAGCTTTTAAATCTCGTGCGCAAGTCATTTTTAGTTTGTTGGAAAAGCCCCCCCCCCCCATATATATATATATATATATATATATATATATATATATATATATATATATATATATATATATATATATATATATATAAGCTTTGATAGTAGGTTTGGCAAGCCAAACGAAGTCTCCTTGAGGGCGAAGGATCCAAATAGGATTCACAGCAAGTCCTGTCGTATATATATATATATATAAAAATCAATTTAAAAATCAGAGACTATGCAACTTCGACCATCAATTTATTAAAAAAAAACAAAAAAAAAACAACTAAAAATACTAAAATAAAAGCTTAAAAGTTAAAAACGTTTCGGCAGTTCTGCCTTCATCAGTTTATATTACAATTTAACAATGTCTAGCTTTTATAGCATTAGCGGGATCAAAATTACCATATTATGTAGTAAACAAATTAATGAGGATCAATAGTAGGATCAAAATTACCATAATATGGCTTGCTAGTTATAATTATAAATTATTACAACTTATAATGGATCCTATTTTTTGATCGAAGTTCAGATCTCTTATTGAGGCCATAAGGGCTAATTGTACACAGCTGTGCCATCCAATATGCTTCTCTGGTCAATAAGGGGTTATTGGCATTTTCGCCATTCACTAAGTCAACTTTTTCAATGGCTACAAATTCCAAATCCTTAAATTCATGTTTATTTTCATTAAAATGAACGGCCATCTCACAAACTTTCTTATCCGTAAGCATAGCTGACTT